AAACAGTGTGCTACCACAATAGTCAGAAATCTGTAGAATGTGCAGTAGGAGCCAAGCTACTGAGGAACTGATGGACTGATGTACTACTGTTTCTGGGTAGTTTCCTCCTTTTGGAGTTTATGAGCAATAGATGCCACTATAATATGGCTTATTAAAGGCTGAAGTATCCATGATTAATATCAGATGCACACACACACTACAGCATGAAGGTAACCATGGTCTGTGGACATCTCTCTTTAGGTCAGCTGATAAAACTGGAGATAACAGAACAGCTTTGGGAACATACATCTGTTCTATTGTCTCAAAAATAATGTATAGAATTCTACATTTTCCTAGAAACCTTGTCCCACTTATAGCTAATATCCCTGTGGCAGATTCTTAATAACTTTTTTTACTTTATTAATCCATTTACTTAATCCTTGCTAATATGAAATGCTATTCTAGAATAACAAGTTAGATTTTACCATTCCCACTACACTAAACCTCTATATAGTTTATCTTTGATGGGGGACAAAAGTTCTCATGTTATCCTTATTGTTTATATTCCCTCAGGCTCACAAACTATCTTCTGCTTTTAGTCAATGCAATTCTTTAAGTCTACCAGTTTAAGCCCAGTCAGCAAGTACATACCTCACCAGCCCACACCACATTAGGAGGGTGATGAGAAAAAAATAAAATAAAACTCATCTAATAACAATAAAATATAATTGCAGTGAAAAGGGAGACAAGAAAAAGAGAGGAAGAGGAATAAAGCCCATTTGCAGACCAGTGCCCAGTCTGCCCCTGACCAGCCATCAGAAGCTCCTGGCCAACTTCCCCCCAGTTTGTGTCCTGGGCATGACATTCCATGGTATGGAATATCCCTTTGGCCAGTTCAGGTCAGCTGTCCTGGCCATTCTCCCTCACAGCTCCCTGTGCACTTTGTCACTGGCAGAACTTGGGTGATGCCTTAGGATTTTAACTTATATATTTTCATATATTTGTAATCCTGCAATTCTTTAGTATATAGCTTTAAACTGCATATACAGTTTTAGCATATACAGTGCTAGCTACTGTCTTCACATTTTGGTCAGACAAAATAATTCCTCTCTAGGTCTGGGTATCAAGGACACTTTACTGTCTCAGGTCCCAAAAAGTGCAAACAAAAATTAGTTGAGGGGGAGAGCAAACTTGGGGTAAAATTACTTCACTGCCTAAAGCTGTAATTGGAAGATTAATCCAATATGCAAATGGACCAAACTTATTGAAGTGTGAAAACTCGTGACTCATTGTCCATTTAGGGTGAAGTCCCTGGGGGGGCTTTGTCTGCCCGAAATATACCTGAAGGCCATTCAATAAATACTCCTGCTTTTGATTCCCTTGATTTTGTATGGCCTCTGTTTTTAGGTAAGCCCAAAAAGGCATTAGGGAAACTGAAAAGTCCTTGACTTGAGGTTAGCACTGCTTAGCAACAACCAAACATCAGTGTGTTATGAACATCATTCTCACACTGAATCCAAAACAAAGCATTGCACCAGCTACCAGGAAACAAATTATCTCCATCCCAGCTGAAACTAGGACATTATGTTATCCTCTGGTTAGTGTTTATGAGACTGGGAATGAACACATGAGGCTCAGTCTCCTGTATTTTTCTGATCTGGCTGGATAATACATGAGGGATGAGGGAGACAGATGACTGTGGAAGAGAGAAAACCTTCACAAGCCAATGCAGAGCCAGTTTCAGCCAGCTTTAGACGTTCAAGAATACTCCTTTCCAACTAAAGTAACATGATATATGAAGGCATAGAATACATTTAATTTATAGCTCAATGAAATCCCAATTAAAATGTTAATTCAGTAAATGAAATGTCTTCATTGCCATTCTAATGATAGAATATAGGTTTTCCTAAATGCTTCTTTTAACTTCCATTTCTGTAGACATTATTTATAGACTAACCAGTAGGAAAAAAAAAATGAAGGAAGATTTTTCCCTTCCTAAGAGAAAATGGGTGAGAAAGGTCCAGGAAAGTTAAAAACACTCTGAAATTATGTCTAAACTGAGACACTTAGGTGCAGGTTCAGACTCCTGGCCTAGCTGCATTCTGAGGTTATATCATATGTCAATAGTCCATCAATGCATCTCCTTCCTCCATACTGTGCTGCCAGCAGGGAGACCAGAAAGGAACCACAACATATTTCAGACTCATACTTGATATGGAGAAGCTGGAACTGTGGCTCCAGGGCATGCTGAAACTCCTGCAAACTCTGTGATTAAGATATGGCTTCAACCTATCCCAATGGAGATTTCGTGATTTTTCCCCAGGTAAACTAGGTGCCAAAATGCAGTTGAGAAGAAGCCCTCTCTCCAAGAGAGAAAGAAAGAATTGAGAAAGAGTCCTCTCTGTAGGCAGGTGCACTCACAAGAATAACTGCAGGAGTGAATGGTGGCTATCTCTGGTCAGGTCCTCTCAGCCCATTAAGCAACAGATCTTCGAGGACATAAATCCAGTCAGCTACTGCAGACACATTCCTACCCTTCTGCCTTCCACAACAGGTGCCCCTCCACCCTGGAGAGGACAGCAGCCTATGGAAGGTGTAGGACAGAATAGAAGAAAACAGCAAGATGGAAGGAAGGGCAGAGAGAAAACACTACATCCTAAGCATAGCCCCCTCCCCACTATACACTGCTCCATGGCTTCCTTGCTGAAGGAACCGAGTGTAACTCAGGTGGTGGTGGCAAAGAAAGGAGTCTGCAGTGGAGGAGTGAAGTTGATCCTGAGAAAGGTAGGGGAGAGAGTTCTTTTCCCTATGTATCTTAATGTTTGTCTTTTTTCTTCCTAAATTAGTACATATATATATGTATATATATATGCAACAAATGACATTAAATTTTCCCAAGCCAAGCTTGTTTCACCCACAATTGAAACTGGTAAGTGATCTCCCTGTGTTTAGTTCAACCTACAAACTTTCTCTTTCCTATTCCTCCTACTTTCTCCTGGCATCCCACTGAGTGAGTGGTTGGATTAGAGTTTGGCTGCTGGCTGGGGCCAACCCATTACATACTGGGAATCTTGGACAATGCCTGCAAGCAAGATTTGGTTTTATGGGAGGAAAGATGGGGGAGTGGCTGATGAAAGTGAAAATTTTATCTCAGTCCTACATTGCGTTCCCAGTTACACTCTAGTTTTGCACTAGAGCAAACAAAATTACTCCATATTAATATACAAGTAATCCAAGAGAAGCACATGGCCTCTGGTTCTCACAATAAGACAAAGGACTCTTACCTAAGCTATGCTATGAGGGCTATGGACTCTCCCACTTAACCTGGGAAAAAAGAGTATATATATATATATATGCCTTATATATATATATGTTTGGATCACATTCAAGTACAGAATTATGCCACAGGTCAAAAGCTTCCTGTATAAACATTAACTACTTCTATACAACAGGTTTAAACTTGATAATAGTCTTTGAAATGTCAAGATTTAGTAAATTCTGAAGGATGACTTCAGTCAAAAAAAAAAGTGCTATAAAGAAAGCATTTCACCACTGAATGATCAGGTTCTATTCTTTCTATTGTGACAAATGCCAGGCCATAACTTTAGTTCCTAAAACTGCCTCCTCTCTTATTCTGAGTTTCTGATCTAACAGATTAATCTATTTTTCCTGCAATTAAGATAGAGCACAGCTGAGTGCACAGCAAGAGGAAGGAGGTAGGGTCCAGTGTTGTGCATCTCTGTGTGTTTTATTTTTTATTCTTTTGGTTTCTCAAAGGTTTGTGAGCTTTGCCAGATGGCCTTTATCCTCTGTCTCTCCTCTTTACACCCTTACTGTAGAACAATCTCTTTACACCCTTACTGTAGAACAATCAGAGAATACTCCTGGAGCTAAGACATGCCACAGAAAATCATGCACTACTGAACCCATGACAACTGCAACACAGTCAGAGGGCTGTAAAATAAAGAAAATTAGTGGAGGCATTGGCATAAGATTAAGTGAGGAACAAGAGCCCACCCAAACGTATTCAAGGGTTATTTGGAACACGTTTGGAGACTGCCTTGGAGATACCATTCAGAAGGTCACATATATCTCATTAATCCAATATGACATGTATGTATGTATCTTGTGTGCAAATGTGTGGACAGATGAATTCAGCCCCAAAGCTTCCTGAAGCCAGAAGACAAGGACAGAGGAAAAGAAAGAGTGAAAGGTGATTGAATGGAATGGGAAGGAAGACGCAATCTCATCAGGCCTGCAGTACTTGGTTGGTTTGCCACCTGAAATTCAGGAAGGTACCCCATGTGATTTCTATACAGTGAACTCAGACTTCTAACTACCCTTGTGTGTATGCAAACTACATACACCCTTGTCTGCTAAATAACTCAAGATAGATAACTGAGCAGTCCAACTCTTATGTGCACATACAAATGTTTGAGAAAGTGCTGGAATTTACTTCTCTGGATTTCATGGGTAGAATGGCTTTCTCCAGTCCCAGATTCCACAGGTTTTTAATTCACCTCAGAAATTAGACTGGCTTCTGCCCTGCTACTGGCATGACAGCTTTGGGGACAGAGTTTTAATTTTTGAATGACAGAATATCTTTATCTGGTCCAGTGCTTTTAAATTTTAATTAAACTAATCCACAGCTATGCCTTTGGAGGGTGCATAGAGCTTCTATTAACCAATATCAGCATCTCAGAAGTACTTCATACTATATATATGACCTGTAAATTCTTCAAGTTCTCAAAGATATACTGAGTACATTTATTACCCTTTTCTGGAAATAACTAGCTTTTATTTAGAAGTCTGACAGAAACAGCCTTCAGAAAACACAAAGGTTTATTACATAAATCTGAAGTCTTTTTTTTCAAATATGTAAACAGCATGTAAAGAGCAACTAAATTACAAACAGCATACATCCATGACAACAGCTAATTTTAAATGTAAACAGCACACTCTGTGCAAGAAATATGTCATAAAGGAGCACAGTTAAGAAATGAGATTCAGTCTGGAAATGTTATGTGAGCCTTTTAGATTAAAAATAATTCTAATCACAAATGAGAAATAAAATGCATACACTGCATACCAAGAATCAAACCTGAGCATGAACTGGGGGTATCTGACATTTCCATCTTCATCAAGGGGGATTCTGTCAAGTAGCAGCTCAAACTCTTCATCAGTAATCTCCACACCAAACCTGAAACAAACAGGAGTTAGCAGCACTTGCTTGCGGAGTTCACATTTGGGTCAACAGTACCCACAATATCCTGAGCATATGGCTGCCATTAACTCTTTGTTACTGCTTTGGCCCTCAAGATCAAGAGCACCACGTGAATATCAGAGGTTAATCAGGGTTTTGATCGCTTCAGCTTTCTCAAAGAAAGAAATTCTACCCTAGAATCCTGGCATTGGTGAGACACAGAAATAGAAATACTAGCATATTGAACTGTGTGCAATTGTCTTCTATAAAAAGTTATTCATTACACTAAAACACTGGTATTGCTTTAACTAGTTAACTCTGAAAGGCTTTTCATTTGGACTGTTTAGCATGAAAGAAAATGTAGAGAAAAACTGTCTTTTTGGGAAACAGCTTCTTAGTGCTTTTGGAAAGCATTTCATAATGGCTTTAAAGATATTTTACATACAAATATTTAAAAGTGACAGTGTTTATTCATCAGCAAGAAAGTGTTTTCACCTCTTCAGAACAATCAAAACATAATCCTTGAAATACTGGCATAAACAGGAATGACTTAAGCAATAATAAAGAACAAGGCACTCATTCATCATTTTGCAAAGCTGATAAACTCAGCTGAATTTTGGAGGGATATATTTTCTTTTTGACAAGGCAATTGTAATGTATTTATACAAAATAAAGTATTTGTTTGTTATTTTAGTTTCATCATCATGCTTCCCCATTTTACATAACTCAAGAAATCTTCCTGTGAGAGTGTAATTTGTCCTTAACTCCTTTTGGGGATTTCTGATTTAGATGCTTGGCACATTGAGAACAGCTCATTCTGTAGAATCATTTACTCTGCTTTATTTCTGAGGAAGTCTGCTGAGGAGGGCAGATAGAACTGGTTTTGCATTTGTCCTCAGCTGACAGTATCTTATTTTACTAGCTTTCAACTTCACTTATCTACAGACTCACCTATTATTTAGACACATGCATTTAGAGAAGCTTTAGTTCAGTCAACATATATAAACCCACACAGAAATAATGCACATCTGCAGCATTTTTTAACTGTTGAGGAATATAAAACCTAACTTGGTCAGGGAATGTCAGTGTGAACAATTTTCCAGGAACCTATAACTATTTTGGGGTTACACACTGTTGCACAGGTCATTTGAAGACTAGCTATTTGCCATGTGATCAATGGGCAAAATCTGTTTGCTTACATGATCAGTTAGACAAAATCTCTGGATTGTTGCTATCTTCTAATCCTTGCCTCCATCAACTGCATCAAGGGGTGTCATACTAGAAAGGAGTTTAGATTGTATATAAGGCATAAGCAGTGGAAATCTCTGTTGAAAACCAAAAAGTTAGGTAAATTTGCCAATTTCTAGCTCTGAAATTAGAACAGAGAGATTGTTTAGTCATTTTATTACTTCTCTGTGTGTAACCATAGTCAGAAAGAAAGCTAAAAAGGTTCTACATAAAGTAACACATGAGATCCATGGAAGAAAAAGAATAGCACTTAGTGCAACATTTCAAGAAAATGCCTTTTCATATTCATCATTAGTGTCTTCATAAAGGAAGGGGAGCAACAAAGCCACAAACTGTTCAAAAAACAAAATTAATTAAGCTCTTTGAACAGTGTTCTGGATTTAAAGACAAAGAATTGCTGTGATCTAAAAAATGGGAATAAGGAGGGGAACATAGGCTCATAATATTATCAATTTGTCCTCTCTCAGAATAAGATAAGAACCAAAGGGAGGCACTGCTTCTCTCACAGTGTCATTTGCCTCAGAACAGCAAGTTTTGTAAAGCACAGAAGTAGACAGAAATTCACACATAGATAGATGATTTAGCACCTCTAGTTGCAAAGAAACAATCTTTCAATAATTCTTTAGATTCAGTTGTCTCTAGGGTCTGGCTTATACTATTTTCTCCTCCCCATAGCAAAAGATTGATCCTCTTATATAAGTTCCAGTATAAGTCCATGAAAAAAATTACATAAATTGGTTTGTTGGTTTTTTTTTGTTGTTGTTTATTTGCTTGGTTTTGGTGGGTTTTTTTGTTGTTGTTGTTGTTTTGTTTTTTTTTTTTTTTTAAGCAAAAGAGATTCTTGATGCAAAATGAGAGAAAAATCTTCATTTCTGGAAACCAAATGAAAAAAACTCCAAACAACAAAGTGTTTTAACAGGCAAATGAGTATGAATTTTCTTGGTGTTGGACCCAATATGACCATGATATGTTACTGAGAATATTTCCTGCTCTGTAGGCTCAGTATAGTTCTGAGTAGCTGCTCATTTAATTTCACTTAAGGAAGCATAATGATAATTCATTATTAGTTGGTAGGCTGAACTAGAGAGGCAGGTCTCTAACCTGGAGTAAACCAGGCCACTGAAGCAATCACAACAAGGGTTTCTGATCAGACTGCTTTCTCAAGAAGAATGTCTCAAACTGCTCTCCATATCCAGCCAGATTAGGAGACCACAAAATAAAATGTTTGTCTATGTTTAATGCTCAAGAAAGTTAATAAACGGTAAACTGCCAATATGGATAAATTTATCTCACATATCTCTTTCCTGTAAATAATTTCCCATTCCCAGCATTAGCCTATAACTGTGATCTGTAATACCCAAGCAGGACAGCCAATCTCTGAAACCCCAGTCATGCACTTGACACTGTACAATACATTTTATTAGGAAAATACCACAATCATTTAAAACGCTAAATAAATGATGCCATTTCTATAAGGAGGGTGGGAGAATCATGTTCTCTTCAATACTTTGCTGTTCATCAGCTTTCAAACAGTTATAACTGAAGCATTGCTATTGACACACAACCCATCCCTGAATGTGGCTGGGCTAAACAGCAGCCTGGAAAGAACTCAGTGATTTCTGGGTGCTACATTCCTTCTTAGAAGATATCAGAAGTAATTGCAGTGTTGAAAGTCCCCAAGCTTCCCAAATGCATCCAGGAGACAGAAGCTGATCCTGAAGGTGTGCTCTGAAAGCATGTCTGTATATATTTAATTGCTAGGGTGGTCAATCCTACTGATACAGGAGAGGAATCAATGTACAGACCTTGAGGGTTTTTTCTCCATGCCATATATTGTGTCTGCAGGTCAGAAAATACATAGGCTGGCCTAAGTTAGTGAAGCTGGGGGAAGGGAGGAACAAGGCTGCACCAACTTTGCATACTGACATTTTCTCCATTATTAAAATTCCAAAGACCTATTTTACATTACTGATCTCAGGATTTCTGGAAACATGCTGTGACTACATTACATCCATCGTGCTCACTGGTGTGGAAACTGAAAAAGCATTGAATGAAGACAGTGTATGGCCTATACCATTTGTTATCCCAAACACTGATATTATACCTCTCATTCTTAACTTCCCCTCAAGTTTTACAAACACATCCATGATGTACAAAAGCAGCAAACAGGAGAATCAAGTGTTGAAGCACACAAATGCAGCCACCTGAAACTAAGCAATTATTTAATCAAACAACAACAGCACACAACAGATGAATCACTGGGTTCTCTGGGGCACATTTTCAAAAGCAGGTGCAATGGGCAGGGCTTGAGAAAAAGATATCTATTAACTGGAGGGTTAAGCCTATTTAGACAGAAGCTGATGCAAAACACAAGGGACTGGTTAACAGCGAGGTTGAGAGAAAATGCTTTGGCAAGAAGCCCAGAATCCTGGCAAAGGGAACACCTGCAAAAAATCACATGTGGTTTATTGTACCAATACCTACATTTTCACATGCAAACTAAGAAATTGTTATTTCCATTTTATCCTATGTTTAATATCATCAATATCCCCAAACAGAAATTCTTACCTCTCATATCTTACATCCAGGAGGCAGAAATTGGGAAATTCAGCAACTGTTTCAGTCAATTACTGAAGTATCTTTTAATTATCTATAGACACTACTACTGGGTACCTATCCAACAGCATGTTTTTAAAAGGCCATTATTGGAAAAGAGAAGATGCAAAAACACATCCACTGCAAGAAAGCAATTGGGAAGAAGCACAGAAAGCAGAGGTGAAGAACTTAACAGGTGTCAAGACTAGCATGCTACAGGAGCAGAGACAGCAAGGCAAATAAGACTGCAGATCATGTCAGAGGGATAAGCAGTCTAAAATTCTGATGGGCATTTGAAACAGGAATGAGCCATTTATACTGATCTGATTGTAAGAAGAAGTAAGTGGGAGGAATTTTCAAACAGGGCATGATATACCCAGAAAGATACGCTAAGGGGATTATTCCACCAGTGTGACCTCAGATCTGTCCCAGGAACAAGGGCAAGGCAGAGATACTTGCAGTTGTTGAGAAACTGCAGGCAGTTGTGAGGTGCACAGCCTTACAGTTCCCATGTGCAGACACATGCACAGAAACCATGGTTTCCACTGGCAGGCAGAGCATGAATTAACTACTTGCTGCATCTGCTTACAAAAAACATGGTCTCTGTCAGCACCTCTTGTGCATTTTCTAAGGGATCACCTGGTATTTCGCCTGTGAAAGCAACTTTAACAAATCAGTGTCACAAAGGAACCAGAAGCAATCTCTCTCATCTGACAATTTTTAAGGAATCAGCAACAACTATTTGGGCAAGTATTTAAACATTTATGAAAAGTGATTTTAACAATGGACTTCAAAAAATCTGGAATTATATTGTATTGGCATAAATCACCAGTTCCACTTCCCTCCAGAAAACCTTCCTTTTGCCACCTCTCATAACACAAACACTGGAAGTATTGGTGTGTCCTTATCTGTGGTGTTGGATGTCTATTTGGCACTTCAATCCTCTCATAGATCTCAAGGGAAACACCAACTGTAACTCACTGGTCTTCACCTATCAGGCTACTTTCTTGAAGGGGAGACACCTAATATATAAAAACTAGGCTTGGAAAGCTGAACCACTGCAATATCTGTGTAAAACACTGGCTGGGAAAACTGACATGCAAGATTTAGAGGCAGCGAAAGGAAAATTAACCTGCTAGTTATTAATTCTTTGC